CCAGACTCTAGAGAGTATGCTGTACTAAAAAAAAGCCTTAGTCACTGGAGATGCCATATCTTTGTCACCAAACTTAATGTTTGAAACCAATTTCACCACAGCATTTTGAGTTTTTATTTTAAAAGAATCAATTCTCTTTATACCTCAGCACTTCTGCAGGTTTTCCTGCAGGAAATAGTTCTTCAAGTAGTTGGTCAACAACTTCCTATTTCTTTTATAGGCTGCTGAATAACTTCCTGAATTAGTGTTCATAATATTTTTTGTTACAAGGAGAGCTTCTACTTAGGTTTATTTTATTGAATCTGGTACCTTGTAACCTTTTCCAAGTACAAAGAACTTATTGTAAACTATTACCATGTAGGCATTATAATTTGGTGTATCAAATGTGATCTAGTGATTTAATACATTTGTAGGTATACATTGTTTTAATAATGTTCTAACAGTTTTAAAGCATTTTCTGGCTGGGCGTTGGTGGTGCACACCTTTAATCCCAGCACTTGGGAGGCAGAGGCAGGCGGATCTCAGTGAGTTCGAGGCCAGCCTGGTCTCCAGAGCAAGTGCCAGGATAGGCTCCAAAGCTACACAGAGAAACCCTGTCTCGAAAAACCAAAAAAAAAAAAGTTTTCTGTGGGGATGTTTTGGGATGTATTCATTTGTCATTTTCTGAATAGAGCCAGTTCTAGAGTTTTTAGTCTTTGAGATTCGAGTTCTTAGGGCTGTGGTTTATTTAAAAGTAGAGTATTTTATGGGGTGGGAATGAAGTTCTGGCATAGCAAACACAAGGCCCTGGGTTTGCTCTATTAACTTTCTATACCACTTAGGATGGGCTGGGATAGGAGGCTCCAGTAAGCCAGTGAGATGGCTTGGTGAGTTAAACCCTGTTCAGCAAACTAATGACCTGCTTTAATCTCCAGATCCTATGGTAGGAAGAGGACCATCTCCCCAGAGTTGTCTAACCTGCAAATGTGCCTCATTTGGTGTCTGTGTGTCTGTCCTATCTCTCATGAACAGAGTAATGGGGACCAGCTGTGGCTGTGCACACCTTTAATTCCCACAGAAGCAGGTGAATGTCTTTGAGTTTGGGGCCCACTGGTTTACATAGCAAGTTCCAGACCAAGCAGGCTGCATAGAGACCCTGTCTCAAAAAAATCACCCCTGCTCTGAAAAAGAGAGAAAGAAAAGATAGAAAAAAAAAAGGCAAATAGCTTGTGGGTTTGAATGACTTTTTAAAAAGTATGTGAAAGTTACTAGAGTATCTTCTTCCATCATTTCAAAAGGTTATTTTCTCCGATTTTTTTGGAGTTACTCAGCATTTAGCTTAGCCACATACCAACTTAGAATGTACCTGCCTCATGAGTGTACTTCATGAATGTTAAGTATAAGTACTTTAGTTTGATTCTATCTGTTATGTGCTCTTTTAGAAGAAGCACTTCCTGGCCTTGAAATCCTTCCTTTTAGTAATGTAGAAAAATAACCAATTATTTTGTAGTTAGAGGAAAGAATGAAAATCAGACCCTAACTGTTCTGTTCTACCCACCCCTGATCTTCTGCCTTAAGGCTTTGGGGTAGAGGTTAGCTATTAACCAGTCACCAGTATGTTGGAATTTTAAATCATAGGACAAATCAAAATGAAGTAATTCATAAAGTCAATTATGACGAAGATTCAAACTTAATTTCCTACTGCCTGTGATAGCATTACTTACAGCTTGGAAGTCTAGTGATGACTGAGTAGCTTACAGAAGAGCCTCCTGTGATCACAAAGTGATGCAGCCCTTTCCTCAGAATCCAGGCATGAAAGGACTTGGGTGACTTTATGGTCACCCAAGTGGTTTTGCTTGCTGCAGTACCTCAGCCCAGGTTTCCTGGGAACAGCTGTGGCTACCTCAGAAGCACAGCTCTTTATGTGAGCACTCACCTCTTCCAAAAGCAAGCCCAGAAGGGTTTTCCTCTACTTCCCTCTAAATTCTGGCTAGGCTAGGGAGGTAGTTCTGTCATGACCAGGCTGTTAGCAGGAGCCATAATTATTCACGAACCAAATGATAAGCTGTTCTCTGAGTAGTGTTTCAGATTAG